TATTGCAGGTTGTTCCATTGGACTATATAAGGCTGAACTGAACTGACTGATATTATCCAGCTCCTAAAATCATTACCTACACAGATGTGCCTTTCTGAGCTAACGTCATTTTTCCCTCAAGAGTCTACTTTGGACCGAGTGCTAATCACTGAGTGCAATCGTTCTGGATACAAAACAAGGCACTGAACCTCTTATGGTTTACTCGAGATCTGTGAAACCGAAAACTAGCATTATCCATTTTGTAGCTCCCGACACCATTGTACCATCACTCCCTACTGTGGGATTAACTGCAATCTTTCTTCATTGGCCCAGATTATTCGTCGTCTTGGTTTCCTCAGTCCCATATCTTTATAGGTTTTTCTAACGTTGGCAGCGATTGGCCGTTCAGTACTAGTTAGCTGAATCAATTGACTCGTCAGCATCATCTGTATATCATCATCATCTATATGGCACTTCAATGTCACAGGCAGTAACTCTCTCAAGGATTCGAAAACCCAAGGAGTTGTGGCCGTATTTCGGCAAGGCCTATGTTAAGACGACGGACTCCGAACGAAAAAATCCGCTTTGGTAACGATTTGTCCTTGTTTTTGCATTTCAGCCTTTCACTGACATCCCCTTAGACTGTTGGCTATTTTTGCATTCTGGTTTAGTTGAATTCCGTATCACGGAACGATCCACGTTTTTGCAATATAACTTCCTCCAATTTGTTTTTCTTCTCAATTCCGTTGAACTGAAGAGTGACTGATATATTATGAAAGAAGATATACTATTGGTGACAGGAACCCGACGCGAGCACAAAGATGTCAGTTTCAGCTGAGGATTTGAAGGCGATCCTCCAACAGCAGCAAGCGCAGTTCGAACAATCGCAGTTGCGATTTTTTCAGTCTCTTACTTGAGTTTTCAATCTTCAGACATCAATTCCATTTCAAAGTGGCACTTCATTATCCTATCGCATTATTCTATCGCAGCAACTATTACCGAATTTCTTTACGAACCGGTATCTGGTCTTATATTTGGTTTATGGTACAGCCTCTGGAAAGATACTATCCAGAATGAGTCTACTGACAAAGATAATATGTGAAAATCCCGTCTCTTGGCCTGAAGGCTTGTAGCTCTCGAGCACGATCGGCTCACGAACTTCATTCTTCCCAGACACCCAAAGGATCTAAACTTTACACAAACAGTGGAACAAGTCCGTGAAATTTTCGGTGAGCAACATTCATTTTTTAATGTTCAATACAATTTTCTCCAGCTGGGCAGGCGCGATGCCGACAACTACATGACTTTTTTTCCGGTGTCGTCCACTGTGTGAAAAACTTCAATTGCAGTCACTTACAGGGGATCAGTTCAAGTGGCTAATTTTCGTCGCTGGTCTTCAGTCTTTCCAAACTTGAGCATGAGAGGGTGCAATTATTCATAGAAAAACCGCCAACATCGTTTTGGTCCTGTGGTTAGTGGCATTATGCACGTTTCTGTCCGTTCAAGAAGCAACAGTGCAAGACGTATCATCCGCGGGGCCGCAAAGGGTTCTGCCATACTCAAAAATCCACAGTACACAAAATCCAAAAGAGCTTCAACAGTTCAATCAGCAGCAGTCGATAATCACCCTTACAAGAAACTGCCGGAGTCCAGGTATGTGTTTGCAACATTCCAAGTTGAATTTGAGTCTCGAAGAAAATATCTTAGTTTTCATCAACAAAATTCCAGTCTGTCTGCAGCTCGACGCAGCTTCAGATATTACGTTGATCTCACGTTCCAGTTGAGAGTTGATAGGAAAAAAATGTTGTGTCATTATTCACGAATTATCGGGCCAAAGTGCATCTGGCAATACCCTACGTTACGGTTTGACCACGCAGCGAGCAAACAATAAGATATGCGAACTGTGACAATATTCTATCCCCAGCTATGTTGCCTGGTCCAGACTCCTAGCACGGCCAATAGTAAGAAGACGGAAAACCTCGGACACAACTTTAATGATTCAGACAACACACGATCAACGGAAAAATGGCAGAGCATATATATATTCCTAGTTTGACCTTGATAGATGCCGTCGTTAGCACACAAAGATACAGAGTTTTTGGGGATGTTGATATCACCGACACCCTACTACTGACTTGGAATTTAGCCTGTAATGTATTCTTCAACACTCTACATTTCTCAGGAACTTGTTATCCCACTGACTTTCCTAATTTGAACATTCTTGGACTTGATTAGACTGAGAAACCTAGTCTTCTCAGTGTACTTTCATTATCTGTGTGCAATGCTCTGAAAGTTTCATCCTCCTCAGACATTGGAGAACACTTTACTAACATATTCAAGACAACATTCATCGATGTCTTCCAAAGTGGCCTTGGATTCTGTACCAAGACCAAGGCACGTCTCGAACTCCAATCCGATTCCATACCATTTTTCAGACCGAAGCGTCCCGTACCACTTGCCGCTCTCGCAACTGTGGAGAATGAAGTTGTTCGTCTCCAGCGATCCGCAGTTATCCAGCCAGTAAACTACTAATTGTGGGCAGATCCTATTATTGTCATCAGAAAAGCAAATGACAGGGTGTGCATATGTGCTGAATGTCCTGCTGGATTAAACGCCGTGTTAGACTCACCAATATCCATTACCAATACCAGAAGATCCGTTCACCAAGCTCAATGGTGGGAAATGTTTCTCAAAGCTGGATCTCGGTGATGCTTACCTTCAAATAGAGGTCACTGTTGGATCTAAAGGACTTCTGACAATCAGCACACATCGTGGTTTGTTTTAATTTAACCGTCTGCCATTTGGGGTAAAATCTGTACCAGCAATATTTCAACAAACAATGGATGCCGTGCTAAACGGCTTATCAGGAGTTGACTCACCAATATTACCAATACCAGAAGATCCGTTCACCAAGCTCAATGGTGGGAAATGTTTCTCAAAGCTGGATCTCGGTGATGCTTACCTTCAAATAGAGGTCACTGTTGGATCTAAAGGACTTCTGACAATCAGCACACATCGTGGTTTGTTTTAATTTAACCGTCTGCCATTTGGGGTAAAATCTGTACCAGCAATATTTCAACAAACAATGGATGCCGTGCTAAACGGCTTATCAGGAGTTGCTGCTTATTGGGATGACATCGTCTGTACAGGTTCTGGTCGAAAAGAACTTTTACATCGTTTGCCTTGTGTACTCGAACGAATTCAACAATACGGACTCGGTCTACGTGCAGAATAATGTCCACTTTGTCTCACATCCATCAAGTATCTTGGACTTTTTGACGAAAATGGTCGTCATCCAGACCCAGAATATATTACTGCTATACAAAAAATCCCAGCACTGACGGATTTAGCAACCTTGTGCTTCTTCCTTTGTTTGGTAAGCCATTAGAGTTCACTTTTGCTAGGCATGCATCATGTCCATGAACCACTTAATAATCTTTTGAAAAATGATGTGCCTTGGAACTGGTCACAGGAGTGCCAGTCCGCTTTTGACCAGAAAGTCACTTTCCAGCTATGATCTGTTACTCACATATCACAATCCAGCCCTGGATATTACTGTTGCTTCCGACACTGTCATCTCACCTTGTCCCCGGCGGAAAAGAAAAAAAACGATTTCCCTGACAATTACTATGCACGATTATGGTCAGATCAAAAAGGAGCTTTAGCGATAATTTTCGCCATTGAGGAGTTCCACAAGATGTTCTATGGACGTCATTTTACGCTCATTGCTGATCATAAGCCGTTTCTCGTTTTCGGACCGAAGAAAGGCATCCCTGTTTACACAGCCAACCGTTTGCAACGTTGCGCTACGACTTCTTCGTCAAGTATCAGTCTACTGATGCTATTGGCCAAGCTGATGCATTGCCGAGACTCATGGGTTCTCAACGTTAACGATCAGAGGATGCTGTTGTTGCGGCAATAACCGTGGAACCAGAAGCTATTGCAGTGCTTCTATACTCACTGCGCTTCCAGTTACTTCTGCCATGGTTCGCAACACCACTACTTGTTATTCATCACTTCAAAATGTACTTCATTTCCACCGCACACACGGGCTTGCAGTATGTTCCGATAAAAAAATTCAACCGGTCTACCAACGTCGATCCTCACTTTCCGAGATTAATGGTTGCATACCCTATGCAGAACGGGTAATTGTGCTCCCATATTTACAGAGCGATGTCCTTTAACAACTTCATTTAGGGTATCTAGGTATTAACATCATGAAGGCGCTAACACGTAGTTATGTCTGCTGGTCTGACATAGATAAGCACTTAGAAGAGCTTCTGCGTAAGTGCTCGAAATGCCAACTATCTGCAAAATATTGTCGGAAAACATGATTATGTTCATGGCCTCTTTCAGAAACCCCATGGTTACGACTTCTCGTTCATTTTGCGGCAACCAACGGCCAGCAATATCTGATCCTAGTAGATGTCTACAGCAAATGGCCAGAAGTGTTTGGCATGACTCAGGTCACTGCTTGTGCTACCATCTGAAAACTACGTATGTTTAGTCCCTTTGGTGTTCCAAATGTCATTGCCTCCGACAACGGAAGGGTATTCACGTACGCTGAATTCTCTTCTTTATTTCAACAAAATAGAAATCACCGCCGTTCTCTCCGCAACCAAATTGCCAGGTTGAAAGATTTGTAAACACTTTCAAACGAGCACTGTTAAAACTCGAAGGGGAGGGGACCACACCGGAAATTATCGATACATTTCTGCTGAGTTACAGGGCGATACCAAATAATAACGCCCCACACGGTAAGTCCCCGGCGGAGATACTTATGAAGGGAAGATCCGTTTACCCATTAACGTTATTTCTCCACATTCGCCAACCGGTAGCAACACAAATATGGAAGCTCAGTTCAACCGACATCATGGTGCTGTAAGTAAGATATTTATACCCGGTCAATCTGTGCTAGCAAAAGACTCGTGGTGTGGATAGGTGGACACAAGGTATAATTGTACGTCGTGCTGGAAAAGTTGTCTGTAGGGTAAACGTAGGCTCCTCTATCTGGGTCCGTTATGCCAATCAGCTACGTTCTTCCTATCTTCCAGCAACAGCTACTCTCGATCCTATCTTCTCTACTGGAGATTTTTCTCGACACATTTGAATTAGCTCGAAGGCCAAAGTGTCCAGAGCTGATGAATGAACCAGTAATTTCCGAAAGTTGCGCACCTAGACGATGGCCTGATCGAATACGAAGGTCCGTCATACCAATGCAACCCAGACCTTGGCAACAGTCCTACTACTGAATACTTCAAAGGGGAGGTATTAGCAGGACTGCCTTTAGACGAACACATCCGCTTTGCTAACTATTTGTCTTGTATACTGAAACCTTGTTTCTACATTCCAGCCCCTCACTGATATCCTATTAGACTATTAGCTCTCTTGTTATTCTAATTCAGTTGAACTCCATATTACAAAACGATGTACTTGTTTGTCTTCTCCACTCCAGTGAGATGACGAGCCTGACTGATACATTATTAAAGAGGATATAATAGCTTACTGCCCTAGCATAATAGCAGAGCGCTGTTTGTTGGACCGTCGAATGTTGTGCACTCAGGTGGAATTAATCCGTAATCCTACTTCGAGTACCATGAGGGATCAGACCGGTTTGCCTGCTTCTATTCCGAATCATTTATGATATTGCATCAAATTTTAAATTTGCTATGCTTAAGATGGAGGGCCAGCGCGCCCGCTGAAGCGGATTCACGGCCGACATTTTATAAATGCATATTCTTAGGGGAACCTAGTCGAATATCATATACTTCACGGCACAAACTCTTTCAGCTCACCGGTGCCTTACTGGGTCTCGGCTGCTCTATACCATCACTTCGTTGTCCTTCTGCTTCCTGTAGGACATCATGTACAGTTTTTTCACATAACGCTCCCCGTTTTCTGTGTACACTGTACTCTTGGGACACAAAATAAGTTGTTTGTGAGTCATCCGTTTTTTATATTTTGACTGCCATCTATCTGGTATTCGCGTTCCTTGCAGTTTGTTGCGTCACTGTTGTTTCAAATTTATCTTTCACCAGCACTCACTCACAATGGAAGTTAACGCAAATCATAACTGGAAGCAGATGAACTTACTTCACCTTGTCTATCCTAGAGGTTACTTTTCGGCGAGTTTCTTTATTTTTCTAGATGATCCTATTGCAAAAGTGCTAGCTTACTGTAGTACAGCCCCACTGATTATCATCATTTCTGTGGCAACACTACTCTTTATCCGACGGGACTTGCATACGGTAACCATTTACGCTGCCCAGATTATTCAACAGATATGTTTATTTGGCGGCATTCTTTTCGATGAAGCCATAAATGTAGCAGTAAAGCGTACACTGAAGCATCCGCGACCAGATACACCCTGTACGATTACTAATGAAAAGACTTATTCCAGTTTTTTCTAGATGAAAACAAACTGAGAACCTATGGAATGCCATCCAATCATTCACAGTTCATGGGTTTCTTCTGCACTTATTCTGTTCTTTTTGTTTGGATACGGTAAGGGGCATCTCACTGCCTTTTATTCCGAAACTAATAGACTTCATTCCAATTCGGTCGGGCGAAGGTGGCGCTACATTTTATGCGCTGCGTCTATGACTCTGTGTGGGGTCACCTGTTACAGCAGGTAGGTTTTGAACCATTATTTTCTCAAACTTCTAGAATTTATCTGTTCTACCACACCCCAGAACAAGTTTACGTTGGTTTGGCGTTGGGTACCGCAACAGGACTACTGTGGTTTTTCTTTGTCCATTTCATACTGACACCACACTTTCTAAGCATCTGTGATTCGTAAGTAGTTCCGTTTATGAATGAATTTTTGAATTCGGTTTATAAGTAAAATACTGCTAGAACGACATAGTCATGATTCAGCTAAGGCGAGACTGAGTGGCACACTGGTTTAACTAGTCAATATTTTTTATGCTATGCATCTTGTTGCAATGCATGTACAACCTTTTGTAATTGGGTGATTATACGCCGGCTATGCAAATATGACTTGTCATGCCTGTTCATCCTCGACACACCGCTCCGCTTCAAGGCGAGGAACTAGTAATGTCTCCTCAACTGGCGATGACACCTTTACACCTGAATTGTCTAGGACAGTGAACAAACCAGCAACCATTTGTGCTGCGTTAGCTACCAAATTCCTTCTTGTTGTGTTTGTGAGTGCTAGTTGAGTGATTTAGGAGCTTGATGCAATTTATTCTGACCCGTTGATAGTCTAGTTACTTGAGTGGGAAAAACTCAAGGAAGAAGACAAAGGTCACCAGATGAAGATCGGGTATATTGCAGATGAACCAATGGAAGAAAGAGCGCTGCGACTCAGTTGGCTACAACAGAGGGAAAATAAAATCCCAGTGAAATATCACAAGGGTAGAATTGCTCGTTAGGACCTGACCGTCGTACCACCTCCTTTTCAAAATGTGTGTGGGTTTTCAGATGTGGGATCACATGCATCGGTGTAAATGGTTTTGGGTTGTGACTGGACCACCGTCTTGGTGTGTATGTGGAATCGACTGGGTGGTTGTCTGTTTGTACAGGGGGCAAATGTGTAGATGGTAACTCCAAGGTATCCAAGAGGAACTGAATTTTCCAATGTAGCCGGTGCAGCGTGTCCAGGGATTTTATTTTCCCTCTGTTGTAGCCAACTGAGTCGCAGCGCTCTTTCTTCCATTGGTTCATCTGCAATATACCCGATCTTCATCTGGTGACTTTTGTCTTCTTCCTTGAGGTTTTCCCACTCAAGTAACTAGACTATCAACGCAACGGGTCAAATTGCATCAAACTTCTAAATCACTCAGCTAGCATCACCCAGGACAACACAATTGGTGCTCGGGTTCACAAAAACAATACATTCGGTCTAGATTTAGACGCTACCCGAAATAGGGAAGTTTTGGTACTGTTTGACGAACTAGTCCAAAAGATTTCGAACGAAAATTTCTTTGGCAGTGGTGTTTACTGCTGCTATCTTGGCACGTGCAATCTTGTACAAATACTTAAAGCGTTGACGAATCCGGCGTCAATCAATAGAGAGGAAAGAAATTACTTAGCGATCGACGTCCTTATTAGCAGTTCCGTCAAGTAAGTACTGATAGTTTTCTGCATGATATTTTCGTGGTGTTAATCCGTCAAAGCTTGGACGGATTGAATGTGATCTTACTGTTGCAAACTAATTCAGGAATGATGGATTTTTCCATTCCGACACAACGTTTGACATTTATGTTGAAACGTCAACCCAAACACTTCCTTATTCGTTGCGATCAAAAGGCGCCATGCTGAGTGATCCGTTTCTTTGCGAGTCTAAATTGGTTGTGGTCGCATTGAAGACGGCTTCAGTCTTCTAAAGATGAAAACGTGTCGTATTCATACTTGTCATCGTTGACCAATAATAGACTGTGGTGAAGTTATCTTCGTTAATCGGTAAATGTATGAAAATTCGCGTTCAAATACACTCAGCACTGAATCGCATGCCTTATTAACTACAGAGTGAATTGTAATTGGTGTTTTTATAACAGGTGTTATGTCCAATAACTGGTCGGTCTTCGTCGAATATCAGAATAGTTGCCTCTCGGCTATGGCGGTGTTCCCTATAACAGGTGTATTTTGTTTCGTACCCTCGCCTCTCCATTTTCAGATCCTTCGGTCAATTGCTGATGCTCCAAGATTTTACTCACATTCCTAACGTGCTTTCTTACGAGTACACAAACTGGCGTGACTGGCGTCGGTGAGTTTTATCTGTTTCGAATATTGCAGCATCGTGTGCTTTGTATAAATCACGCACGTCAACGAGCCATCAACTGAACCTGGATATCCGTGCGTATTAGAAACAACGCCTTGAGTAGATCCCAGACGCCGTTCCCTCTCCATTGAAGAGTATCATTAGACTGGACTGATCGTTCAATATTTTTCACGATTGTGGTGTTGTGAGGTTTCTCCATAAATGCTGCAGGCAGTCGTACCCTCGATGTTAGGCATAAAACTACATGTGTGATTGAGGATCCCCTTTTGATATGCCTACCAACCTTATCACCTTCCAGTCGTTTCTCTGTTTTTTGAACCGAAGACAGTGGTACTATATGTGGGACTGCTACAAACACCATCCCAGAAAACATTAATTGGATGAAGCTCCTTCAGTTTGGATTGCTTGTTATTTGAACGAGCGAAGCGCTTCGGTTACCTTTGACATATTTAAAAAACCGGATTTCGGCACACCGACTCGCCATTTTTGTGATTTTAAACTGCATTATGATCGTAGTCTGTTGTTCAAGGCCAGAGGCAGTGTGACCTCGACACATAGTACCCCCCCCCCTAATAAGCCCCTTTCTCCAAGAGACCACCCCGCTCTTGGAAAAGGCCTGTTAATGATAATAGTGTCTAGATATTCAATATTAAAAGCGCCACGATTTGAGTTCCGGTCCACTACGTAGAAAGGTCAATGAAGTCTCTACCGCACCATCCACTGATTGGAACGCCCGCCTACCTCAACTGACGAAGTCCTATTCACCTAGCGATATTTTCAAAACAGATGAAGCAGTTTTGTTTTAAAAGGTGCCTCTAAACACAATAACCATCGAAAGTTTTTTAAAGAAGGTTTAACGTTAGTGGAACAATTGAAAGATCGTTGCCTGTTGAGGAGAACTTTGGTAGCTCAAGTAGCATAGACGATCCAGCTCAGCGAACAAACCAAGAACCATCGTTGCTTATGCTGATCGATAGCATATAGCATATAGCAACATGTTTTAGAGGAGCATACTTGGATTCAACTTGGGGGCTTAAAATACAAGTCTCATTTTCAAGCAATGGTTTAGAAAATTAAACGACCAAAAGTTTCTGGAGAATCGGAAAATCACGTTGCCTCTAAATAGCCGTCTAGCCCATTTTCGTAGGACTAAATGGAGCTGATTGTCCTCTCTCCAAAAAAAGTCGTTCAGCCGTAGCACCCTTTCGGTGCCTAGCTGCCGTGCCACCAGAAGGTTGCACGAGGGCTGGGATACTGCCAGGTTGCCCAAGCCTAGACAGGGGAAGTCGAGAGGCAGGGGTCGGGTTCGAACCGCGGACCTTCCAGTCAGTAAATTCGCGCTCTAACCACTTGGGCCGTCTCACCCCCCTCTCCGAGTGCAACGTCATGCGTGCAATCTTTTGACGCTGGTGTAAATCAGGTTATCGTTCACGGCTGCGGAAACATGGTACACAGCTCATCACGGATGTGTCAGCATAAACGATTTCGTGATAGGTATTGTGACTTGATAAATTTTGTAATTACATATTGTGGACTCAATCACATAGATTGACATCGGTTGAGAAAACTATCCAGGTTTGTTTTGCTGCCTGCGGAATCAGAAACGACCGTGCAACTACAACGCACTAGTGTAACCGACGAGCGACCAACTTTCATTCTCCTATCGAGCGACTCGTCACCTGTAACTTATTTTTACCTGCCAAACTACTTTTTTAATGATCATACTGTTTGTTGTGGTAAGGAATCGTCAGTCAGCGCATGGATCCTAAAGGATCCAGGGTCCCGACACTGGAATCTGACGGTGGTATGCCTTCCTTGACTAAGTTTTAGGACTAGGTGAACAGTTCAGAACTATCCTCAAAAATTCCAAACACTGATCTCAGCCTTGACAAATCCTCAATATCTATTCTCAGAAGTCGAAGGAACCTACTTTCATCATAATCATCATCGACAGCACGACGTCAGTGTTCAACTCCGAAACTTCGCTGCCGTACAACCATGGTTTATTTGAAAACCATGTTAAGAAGAAATGAATAAAAAAGATGGACGGGGAAGGTACTTAGTGCTCGCTTCCTACAATCATTTCGATGTACATACACCTCCAAACACCCACTCAAGCAATCTGGATAGAAACTGACAAGATCGCCACTGACATCGGTTGGCGGTCATATCTTGCAGCGTCTCCAAGTAGGCGCAGTGAGAGTCATGTGGTCCCCATCCTGGAAGGCGAGTAGCACCGACAGCATCCGAACGTTTCGTGATTTCTTTCATACCCCTCTGCCAGGTCAATGGCCGACCTACGTTAAACAGAAAAAAATACGGAATACTTCAAAACAGTGCTGGTGGTAACTACGCTTCCATTTTGTGTCCCGAAGGTTCGATTTGGATATGTGTGAGAACAACGATGTGTGCTGTAAGGGAAGCAGAATATTATTGTACTAGCCTTGATGTTTCATCACATTATTATCCAAACCTGATATACACATATCTTTGTTTGTTCATACTGTCCAGGAAGATGTCCCCACAGAGAACCGACCCCGAACTGAGACCATTCGAGTCGTTCTCTATAGCTGGTCTTTCTTAGGGGACCATACGTATACACGCCTGCTGTACTACTCGCATGTACGAACGAATCACGTCACAAGGTTGTTGTTTCCTCGTCGGTCAACTACCGTCCTGTATCGCTGGTTCGGTTTCCAATCTTCCGTCCTCGGAGAACGGTTACCTGTGTGTACATGCTCGATCTACCTGCCAAGACTGTCAACCAGTCCGAATGCATACGATCTACGAACCACTTGAAGAACCTAGGACTGTGCCCACAAAACCTAGCACATGTGTCGCACAACGCAAAAAGAGAAAACATGCAGGTGGTTAAAGGTACCAAGAGAGATGTTGCGACAAAAATTGATAGCACGCGCAAACTGTCCAGTCGGTATGTACTAAAGCCGATAATCTTCTCCCCTAAAACTATTCTCAGAAGTGAGATGATTTAACTGATACAGGATGCGTTGATAAAATTGCTACACTGAAGCGGCATAATTTTCGGATCCCCCGATGGTTTTTTACTACTTGAATAAAGCCTGAAGAATGATACACAACAATCGACACCTGTTGTCTGCTCTAACCACGTCTGACATAATCTACAAATTTAGATCGAACCCTGTCTACAGTGTTCTCCTTCAGAGTAATCCTATGGAACAGCTCCCAGCATCGTCGACGACCTAAAGCGCAATCCATATGAAGCGGAGTTGACGCAACGGCGACATACGTGGATAGCCCATATAACGACCGGTATGCAAACGAGACTGAGAGTTTCCCATTCGTGGAGTTTCCATACTGTGCCTAACTTCCTTGCCATCCGAAGGTTGCACGAGGGCTGGGATACTGCTAGGTTGCCCAAGCCTAGACAGTGGAAGTTGTGGAGCTTTCTACGTATCATGGAAGTTGTATTAATTCTTATTTTAGTGTGACGGATGAGGTCAATGAACAAATCTCTAAGGCCCTGGTCGTGGTTGCTAATTTGAGACACGGTGTCAAAACGGTGTATGCCTGAATCTCAAGAGACGTATGTATCAGGCCACAGTACGGTCTGCAGGACTTGGCCTGTTCGAGCATCGGAACGCAGACGTCTTCCGGTGTTCACGCGTTGTCTCAGAACCATGGCTCATATGGGGTGGTGTCGGTGAATCCGTAACGAGGCGCTAAAAAAGAGGGTCTTCGGTTGTGCAACCGGAACTTCCATTGAAAGATGTGTCCAGCACCAGAAGTTGCGTTGGGTGGGATATCTGTTGCCGAACCACTGTTAGCCAGAGAGTGCTGTTTTCCGTGGCCAATCCAGAGTTGTGCAAGCAGAGAGGTGACCAACGCTTGACCTGACAGAGGGGTATGAAAAAGATTACGAAGCGTTTGGCTGTTGTCGGTTTTACTTGCTTTCCAGAATGGGGACCGCGTGATCCCCACTGCACCTGGTGATCCTGACAGAGATGAAAAAGATTACGAAGCGTTTGGCTGTTGTCGGTTTTACTTGCTTTCCAGAATGGGGACCGCGTGATCCCCACTGCACGCACCGATAAAACGCCATACGTATAGGCGACCCACAATTCTAATATTCCTGGATTTTCAAGGCCTATTCGACTCGGTTGATCGGTCCGTTCTCGTTGACGCGCTTGCCCATCAAGGAATTCCCCTGGAAACACTGCAAGATAGGGCTACCAACCGATGCCAGTGGCGTTCTTGTTATCAGTTTCTATCCAGATTGTCTGAATGAGTGTTCGGTGGTGTATGTATCTCCGTATGATTGTAGTAAGCCAGCTCTAAGTCCCTTCCCCCTCCACCTTTATTCTTCTCTTCACAAGGCTTTCGAGTAAATCATGGCTGTACGGTCGAGAAGCATCGGCGTTGAACACTGACGAGCAGCGGAACGGAGTTGTCTTCCTGTTTTCAACCGTTGTCTCAGAACCATGGCTCATGTCGGCTGGTGTGAGTGAATCCGTAACGTGACATTTAAAAAGCGGGTTGTGCGGTAGTGCGCAGCACCAGAATTTGCGTTGGTTAAACCACGTATTGCGAATGTCGAACCATCGTTTCCGTTTTTATATGACCAATTATGAGTGACCACCTGTTGACACGGCTGATGGGTAAGATTACAGAAAGCCTGGGTGTCGCCTGTACGTCCATCTTTCCGGAATGGGGTCCGCGTGATCCCCACTACGTCTGGTTGGAGATGCTGCAAGATATGGCTGTTGATCGACGTCAGTCGCGTTCTTGTCAGTTTCTATCTAGATTGCCTGAATGAGTGTCTGGAGGTGTAAGCACCTCGGAATGGTTGTAGTAACCTAGCACAAAATCCCTTCCTCGTCCATTTTATTCTTTTTTTCATTATAGGTCTTTCAAATAAACCGTGGTGATACGTCAGGTAGCGTGAGTGTTAACCGCTGATGGCATGCTGCCAATGATGATGATATGTCCTTGGAAAAACCTTGTTGACTTGGAATGTGCAGATGAAATTGTTGTCCCATGTGATAAGGAGGAGAAATCACAAACATTACTTGAAAAGCTTACGATTATCATCCAGTTTTGCGACATGTACTTCAAGCTTTGAAGCACAGTGATGCTTTAAGACATACATTGTTTGAACATTCTAAGAATTCAAAGAGTAACTCCGAAGGCTATGGAACATTATACGTATCTTGGGAATCTTATCAGCTTTGACGGTATTGCGACAGACGCGTTCAACGCATCTGCTTGCGACATGAAAAAGGTACATCATTGGGCCTCAAAGGATGCGTGTATCAGACTACAGTGCGAGCTACAACACCTGACCGATTCGTGCGGAGGATCTGACCACCAGCATCTCGGTAGTGTCGCCTGAGAATTCGGAAAGAAGTGATCCACCCTACGCCCGGTTGGAGACGCTGCAAGATATGACTGTTAATCTGTGTCAATCGCGTTCTTATTGTCAGTTTCTATCCAGACTGCCTGGCAGTGCTGGAGGTGTAGGCACCCCGGATATTTGCAGTGGGGTAGCCGTAGGTACAACAAAAATAGTACCATCACCACCAACGAGGCGTGGATCAAGAACCTCTCTAGCAAACGATTGACTGTTCAAGAACAGGATGTTCTTGTTAAAGGACTAAACTTCAGTTTCAAAGATTCCACCAATCTGGAGTTCTTGGCCAGCCTAGAGGCAGCTATGAAATCCGCTGAACTGGATGAGAATGCTCAACAGCAACTCCGTCAAACTGTTGTACCGGCAATCACACGAAACAAAACTCTCAACCTTCTCTCAAACAAGGAAAGTGAATCATTAGAAAATTTGAAGAAAGATGAAACCATCATCATTCTACCTGCGGACAAGGGACGGATGACCGTTATCATGGACAAATCGGACTACGTAAACAAAGCAAAAGCTCTGCTCAACGATACTACCATGTATCGCCGTCTGGAAGATGGTCAAACTAAAAAACTTGCGAACAAAATCAACAAGAGCCTGAAGCGACTGTAGGACTTCCAAAAGATCACAACCGAAGAATATGGGCGAATGAGAGCCAGAGAATCCAATACCCCACGCTTCCACGGACTCTCGAAAGTACACAAGGAGACCACACCATTAAGACCAATTGTGTCACTCCCAGGCACACCTTGCAAAGGAACTATGGAGAAAGGTCAAGTATCTCATCAATGAATTGCAACACTCAATCAAAAACGCACAACAGTTCTTGGATAAACTAAAGAACGTGACAATAGTACAGGACGAAACAATGGTCTCATTTGATGTCAGCTCACTATTCACAGTGGACCTCCATTCCGCAAAGACAACAGTCGCTGAACTACTGGACAGTCATGGACCTCCCAGTGGACCTCTAAGGAAGGAAGACATATGTGAATTGCTCAGCCTCTGTTTG